ATAAAAAGTTTTGAAAAAAATCATAAATTCATTTAAAAAAAATTATATTCTAATTTATTTTATTTTTTTTATTATTTATGAGTATAAAAAGTATAAAAACAAGTATTTTATTATTAAAATTTATATATACAATTCTATCACACTAGATTTGTTTAGTTAGAAATCTAGATGGCATGCTGTAATGTTGTGAAAATCAAAAGAAGTGAAGTTCGTAACTGTTATTTATTTTCAATGGTAACTTTTCATTGCATCATCGTTAAATGCATCTCATACTAGTTTATTCTCTCGGTGAAAGTTCAATTAAAAATCTTTTTATAAATATAATAATCTTTTTATAATATAAATATAATAAATATAAATTCTTTTCTTTTTTTTAATATATTATTTATAATATAAGTTATATATATAATATAAGTTATTATTTTTATATAATTAGTGCAAATTATGTTTTTTATAATTGTATATATTTATTGAAATTATATATTCATATATTATATATTATATATTCATGTTTTCAAATTCAAAATTTAATTTATAAATTTATATATATTTTTAAATAAAATTAGAATTTTCAAATATTTTTATATTTAGAATTGTACATAGGTAAAAAATTTTAAATTAGTTTTAAAAACTTTTAAAATGTCGTACGTGTACCGTAAGATTTCAAAATGCAAGAGTGCTCATAACAATGCAAAAGTGCTTTAAGTATCGTGCCAACAATTCTATGTATTTTTAGTGTATTTCATGGCATTGCTGTCTTTTTGTTATATCGTTGTGGAGAGAGATCAGATATTGTCTAAAATACACTTATATATTTGAATTTTATTTTATTTTTTTTTATTAATTTCGGTTTATTCACATAGAATCAATATTGTGGTTATAATTTCATTTCATCAATAATAGTAATAGTTGATAAATATAAAAAAATAATAAAAAACACAGCATTGACTCATTTAACTTTTTATGTGTAAAACTTTAATAACATGTGCGTGTAAATTTATCTATTATATTTAAACAAATTGTTCAAATAAAATAATAGAAAATATAAAATATAAATAAAGAATAATCGGTCGATTATAATTATTATTCATTTAATCTTATTTATTTTTTTTTTTTAAATAGACTATTTATTTATTTAGTTATTCGTGTGTTTGTACGTATAAAATTCACAGACAACATTCAACAAGTGGTCGTTTGATATGTGTATCATCCCCACCATTAATTGATCGTCTACATAGCTCAGTCATTCGCGATAGACAGTGAAGAGAAGCATTACCACAGTAAAAGTGCTACATAATAACATATATGTTTATATACAATGATTCTGTATGAATCTATATAAAAATAATATATGAATATAAGTGATTATATATTTAAGTGTTAAAAAAAATGGCTATGGATCGAACAATGTATGGAAAAGTAGAACCAAGTGCTATTTATCAGCCCTATAAAATCACCATCAAAAAAGGTTCACCACCAGGATGTGAGTCGATAATTTTTTTTGTATTATTTAATTTTTTTTTGCGTTTTTCAAAGATTATCATGATTTTAATCTTTTATTACATAAATTAAAATAAAGAAGAATATGTAAATTAAAATAAGAAAATGTTTCTAATAATCACGATTACATTTATATATACGTGCATTTTTTTGCATAAATGAACTAATAAGCTTAATTATTAATCTAAATTATTCTCGATATACTTTTTTTTTTAATTAATGTTGAATCATTAATTATTATATTGATTTAAAATCTGTATTTGTGTTAGTTTGCGTTCACACAACTCTGCGTGATAACATAATGTGAACTTTTAAATTAAGCTCAATTGTTTCTGACAGTTTTTTTTGTCGGTTTATAGAGCACATAGGTTTGGAAAGAAACAAATTAATTATGAAATTTTAAAATGGTTTTATAAAAATATATGATTATTAAATTTAATAATCATTTAATATAATTAGTTTAATATATTATATTATAATATACCATATGATGATATTTTAAAAATAATTTTTTTAATTAAAAATTTTAAATAATTTATAATATTTTTTTAGCTATTGATATGAATTGCCGATATATAGTCAAAGGTTAAATTTGTCTTAAAAAAATTTTAAGAAATCTTCTAAAACTAAAAAACTAAAAAATATTTAAATTAATATTATTGTATTACAGAATATATGGATTTAAATTATTTTTGAAGTGTACATTTGATTCTGTCTGAAGAGATGACTCATGATGTGCACAGATCACATCATTTTTTTTGGAATACCTTTCACCTACAATGTGGGTCGCCTTGACACTAAATTTTTTGAAATATTTGTTGTTATTTACAATACTTTTATGGAAATCTTTAAACGAATCTAAGGTAGTTAATTTCTTTTTATTTCCAAAGAAATTTGAATTATAAATGTTACATCAATTTCCCGTGTGGCGCCATCTATTCTGTCATATTAGAATTAATAAATTGCTGTATCGATATAAGAAATTAATATTAATAGCATTATTATTATTATATAAATTAATAAATTATCAGTTTTTCTAAATTTCAATTGTTAAGTGAAAAACGTGTACTGTATGTAATTTAAGAATTTTTTTTATTAAATAATTTAATAATTTAATCTATGTGAATTTTATTATATATATATATATTATACATATAGTATACATAGCAATATATATTTCTATTTCAAATTACGATGATTTAATTATTGAAAGTCTTTTTTTAGAGATTTTTTTTAGAAAGGAAATTATTCTTATTTATTAATCGTGCATATTATTGCATGAAAGATCCAGTATATGCGTAGGCACTCTTCTTTGAACGAATCTTGCCTTGATCTATACATATCCATATCAGGTATGACAGTGTGTGATTTAATTTCCTACGCTTACAACTGATTTAAAAATATATATATATTTGTATAGGATCAATAAGTCATTCCATTCATATTATAAAATATAATTTTTTTTAAATTACGAATAAATTTTATAAAATTGATTAAATGATATTTCTTTTTATAAATAAAAAGAAAAAATCGTGTTAAAATGATAGTTATTTCAAGTTATTTTTAAGATGTTTGTCGTTAGGAATCTAGTTGTAAACATTTCTGTATAACGCGTGTTAACCAAGATGCGCAACAAAGATGATGAACAAGGTTAAAAGGAGGGAGAGAAGAGAACAGAGACAAATGAAGAAGGAGATGGGTTCACGTAACACAGATTCTGTAAATGCAAACTGAGAAACACGTGCTGCCAGTTCTACCTGATCTCGCAGTACATACGTGCCTTCTAACAATCATTTCTTCGCGTGCCATTACCTTGCACGTGAAAATAATTTCAACCGGTATGAAATAATTTCATTTTTTTATATGTTTTTATAGTTATAATCGTGATATGATTTCCTTCTTTTTTGAAGTGTCAAATTATTATTATTATTAAATAATATAAAAAGTATTTTTTTTTTATGTTTGATTTTACATGAAGTTTTTAGAAATTGGCAATTGAAAAGTTTATTTTATTTTTTTTTTAGTTGTTTGTCAAATTGTTGTCTTATAATTGTTACTATTCCTCTAAGTATATTTTTTTTTATATAAATAATTAAACTTTGAATAGATTTAAAATTGATTAAAAAAATTTGCTATGTTTATGCAAATTTTGTTATATTTTCTTTTTATATTTCGTAAATATATTAAATTCTATTTAAACTTAATGTTATTAGATTTGATAATATTTCGTTGAAAATATAGCGATATGAATGATATTATGAGACTTGAATCGCCGATTACTCCGGCTCGTTTGACAACAATTCAAAAACATGCTTGTTGGGAACAATACATAAGTAAGTAATCATGGAATTAGTGGGAATATAAGTTAATAACAATAATTACTAACTAGCTATAGAAATTAATGTGTATAAATTATAATTGAATTCTAAATATACATGCATATATATAAATTATAATAACTTATTTTTTTAAGATGAATGTTTTATTTTACTTAATAATCGTATTAAATTAGCGACAATTCGCAATAATATATTCAAAAAGTAATATACTTAAAGGAAATATTTCATTTTATAATTACATGTGTATAATAATTATGATTTTTTTACAAGATTTATTAATTGTATAGAGATTTAATTTGGAAATTTATAACAAAAATGCATTTGTATAATACAAAATTAATCTAAATTAATC